CATTACCCAGTGAGTTTCAAATGCATAGATTTTCATCAAAAAAAAAAAAATATTTGCAATAGTCAACAGAAAAGGCATCTACTTTTCATTTAAAAACTTCCTTTACCTATTTACAAAAAGCTTCCATCTATAAGATTCCATATTTTTTGATAATGTATAGCATTCAAATATTTTGCAATATGAAAATATATTGTCACAGCCACTTTCAAACTATCATGCAGTTTGCTTTCATGTTTATTTAAAAAAAATTATCTTTATAATTTTGTGTACATAAAAATGAACATGCATTTGAATATAGTGTACCAACATATGATATGAAGAGTTTGAAATATAACCAAGACATTAAGACAGGAGTGATCTTTAGATGAGGATATAAAGGAATTCCTATACTGAATTTCAAATAATAAGGCTGTGTATGTATCACATATTAAATATATTATCTGGAAAGAAAATCATAAATTGGTCATAGCAAGAAAAAAAGAAATATAGAAAATTTAGGAAGATAATCCCTGTAGTATCAGTAATTCAGTTCATTTTCAGAAAGTGACACTAGGCTAAACTGTTGTATTACACATATGAATTAAGTCCTTGAGGAAAACAAATATAAAAAATGTTAATTAAAATGTCAAATAGAATCTTAATTATGTATGTTTTAGGAAACAGAAAACCCCATATATTACTTCAATACCCTAATAAGAATTTTTATAGAGTTGAATTTGTAGGCTTTAGTCCTTTATAGCAGGGGTCCCCAGTCCGTGGAACCATACTGGGCCGCAGTATGCCAGCAACCGGTCCGCACAAACAAGGAAAGCCCCATCCACAAGATGCAGGCAGCACACAAAATCACACCCTCTCTGGTCCACAGAAAAACCTCTCTCCACGTAACCGGTCCCTGGTGCCCAAAAGGTTGGGGATCTCTGCTTTATAGAATTGAATTGGTAGGCTTTAGTCCAACAGTACATCCTCCTGTTCAGCATAGGAATCTGCTGGTCCTTCTCTAACATATAGATATTTAGATTCTTTTGCAAAACATCCAATAAGAGAAATCCGTCACTGTTCTAGCCAGACTAGAATAAGAATAAGACATCTCTTATTTTGAAATATTTTTGTTACACACAACATAAATCTTTTAAAAATTTTAAATACTTGCAAGTTATACTATTTTAGATTTTGGACACCATTATCATATTAGCCCTCAATGTTTTCTATTTCAAGCTAAATTTAAATGATAAGAAAGAACGTTTCTTGCTAGACATAAAAATCAATGATTAATTTAAAAAATAATAATATATTTTAATTTAAATTAATGATTTTAAGTTGACATAATACTTTAATTTTTATTTGAATATTTTGTAAAAAAATGGATCTAATTTAAAAGTATAATCAAGGATATAATTTCTAAGTGAGCTTTTTGTTAATAAGGTTTTGAGAACTACAGAAAGTTAACAGACCTGGTAACTGACTCCTTCTAAAGCACAGAATTAAAGATCAGTTGTGGTGGTTCTCCTAGCACATAATGACAGAATTTCTTTTCCAAATATCTACAATAGCTGAAGTAGGGTTGACTTAACTCCTAATGACTTCACATGTATCTGATCGATTTGTGCTAAGATCATATTTCAGGTTTTTTAGATAAAAATTAATGTGAAAAATGACTATTTTCTTCATATTTTATGTATGTTTTAAAAAGGAAATATTCTCTGAATTCCGAACAATATGAAATCAGACTGTAGCAAAGAAGGAGAATACATTCTGACTTCAAATTCAAGTCATAGATTCTTTTTGGCAAATGAATACATTTCCAACTAGTGATTTAAATCATGATTTTTATTTAGATTATATCTGCTTTTATTTCCTGTATAAGTTCATAATTCAAGAATTTATTTAGGCAGTTAATCTAATGACTTTTTAATCATGGGCTCCTTCAATATTTCTAAGAGCAAACACAAAGGAACTTCCTTTTGTTCTCTCCCTCTTCTTCCTACCATATAATTCTACCTAGAGAACAGGTTGGTATATGCAGTCTGAAGGCTAGGAGAAGAAGATATATTACACATAATTGAAGTTTAATCATGCCTTTTCCTTTGTCTTTTTCTCTTCTATGTTGCTTGAGCATATATTGCACTAAGCCATATTTTTATTTTCTCTTTAACATGTTGTATTCCTTTATGCCTCATAAACCTTAGATTGTGCCTTAGTATAATGAATAATTCCAGTATGGTTACACTAGACTTAGGACCAGGCGTTCCTTATTATTGAAGCTCAGTGTATAACATTGGACCAGTCAGTCTCTCTCAGCCCAACCTAATTCACAGATTGGTTTGTTTTGACAAAAAAAAAGTAGGATGTAACAAACAGTATGTATATCACCTTGAGCTTCTGGAGGAAAGCAGCATTGATTTATTTATCTAATAACTAAATAGTAAATAAATAAATTGTGGTTTATTTCAAAATTTTATTTATTTTTCACCTTTATTAAAATTCCTTTTTACGACTCTGT